GACGACTAACGTCGCCGGCTCGCCTCGAGCTTGTCTGGCGCTACCCGCGGGGCTTCTGGACCCGTTCTTCACGCTTCGCGGGGCGCAACGCCACCACCATGCCGAGCACGACGCTCAGCAGGATGACGGCCCAAGAGACAGATTCAACGAGAGCGAGCATAGCGGCGGCATTTTGAGGAAGGGGGAGTCGCTCTAGGATAATCGCCGGGGACGGTGGGGGGAACTCGTTAGTTGAAGCCTCAATGACCGATGAGTGGGGCCAGGAGTTAGGGGCCAGGGGCTGAGGGGCTGAGGGGAAAATTGGTGCGGCGGCGCCCCCTTGGTCATTGGGGGGTTGGACATTGGTCGTTCAAAACCTGCCCTCTGCGTCTCCGCGTCTCTGCGCGAGACTTAGGCCGTGACCGGTAGTTCCGCGCCCAGCGCCATCGCCACGGGGCGGGCCAAGCGGCGGAACTCGGCGGCGGGGGCGGCCACGGTGCCCCACTTGGGCGACAGCGGGCGGCAGATGCGGCGGTAGTCGTCCGCGGGGATCGCCACAAAGGCGTACGGCCGGTCGCGCCAGTAGTGGACCTCGTGGGCCGGGACGGGCGAACGGTCGCCGACCAGCTCGAAGGCGAACACCAGCACGCCCAGGAAGCCCGCCCCAAAACGGTCGCCCCAGCGGGCGAGCGACGCCAGCTCTTCTTCGGTTGTCCAGTTCCGCCAGTACTGGCTCCCCGAAGGGAAGCGGCGCCCCTTCACATCGACGAGCCATCGCGCCGGCGGCAACAGGCCCTCGTCGTCCGACAACGATCCAGCGCCCCTTATGTCGGAACCGGGGGAGACGATGAAGTCGACGCTCTTCAGCGAGCCGATCGCCTCGACGGCCCGCCGCCGCTCATCGACCGCCACGTAAGCGATCTGCCGCGAGCGTAGGTAGTCCTCGAAGGCGGCTTCGTAGTGGTTGTGCCTTTTCGCCATCTTGTTCACCACAGAGGCACGGAGGGCGCGGAGGATTCACTGAGTTTAATAAAGAAGTTTCGCGCGGAGACGCAGAGACGCGGAGAAAAATCGGAAGAAAAGTGCTTGGCGGCTTTGCGCCTTTGCGTGAGTCGATTTGAAATGTTTCACGCAAAGGCGCGAAGACGCAAAGATCGTGACAGCAAACCTCTGCGTCTCTGCGTCTCTGCGCGAGACTTCCTTAAGCACTTACAAGAGCCGCTGCGCGGTTGCGGGGGCTTCGTTGAGGGGGACGGTGGTGCTTTCGCCCGTGGCGAGGGACTTGATTTGGCATTCGCCGCGGGCGAGTTCGTCGGGGCCGGCGATGACGGCGAGGCGGAAGCCCTTCTTGTCGGCGTACTTGAGTTGGACGCCGAGCTTCTTCGCATCGGGGTAGAGCTCGGCGCCGACGCCCGCCGTGCGGAGGCTGGCGGCGAGTTTGAGGTAGTCGCCGAGGCGGTCTTCAGCGAAGAAGACCACCAGCGCGTCGGCGGGCGTGCGGGCGTCGCCCACCAAGCCGAGCTCTTCCATCGCGGCGAGCAAGCGATCGACGCCCAGCGACGCGCCGATGCCGGGGAGCGTCTGGTTGGTGTAGAGGCCGGCGAGGTCGTCATAGCGACCGCCGCTGGCGACGCTGCCGATATCGGGCAGATCGTCGAGTGTGGTCTCGAGCACAAGGCCCGTGTAGTAGTCGAGGCCGCGGGCGATCGACGGGTCGATGCGGAGGCGGTCGGCCTCGGCGCCGGCGGCGGTGAAGCCGGCGAGCACTTCGTAAAGCCGCGTCACGCTCGCTTCGCCGCGCTCGCTGCCGGCCACGAGCGGGCCGACGATCGCCAGAACCTCTTCGGCCGAGCCGGTGACGCCGGCGAACGCCAGCAGCTTGTCGGACTGCTCATCGCTCGCGCCGGCGGTCGCGGCGAGTTCGGCGCGGACCTTGTCGGCGCCCATCTTCGTGAGCTTGTCGAGCGCGCGGAGCACCTCGGTCGAACACTCGGCGAGGCCCAGCGTCTCTAACAAACCGTTGAGCACGCCGCGGTGATTGACGCGGATCGTGAACCGCTCGAAGCCGATTGCGCGCATCAGATCGTGGATCACCAGCACGGTCTCGATGTCCGACGCGAGCGCCGTTGTGCCGACCGTGTCGAAGTCGCACTGCACGAACTCGCGGTAGCGGCCGCGCTGCGTGTTCTCGCCGCGCCACACCGGCGCGATGTGGTAGCGCTTGAACGGCAGGCCGAGCTGCTGCGCGTGCTGCGCGGCGAAGCGCGCCAGCGGCACCGTGAGGTCAAACCGCAGGCCGACATCGCGGCCGCCGTGGTCCTTGAAGCGATAGAGCTGCTTGTCGGTCTCGTCCGAGCCCTTGCCGGTGAGGATCTCGAGGTACTCCAAAGCCGGCGTATCGATCGGCGCGTAGCCGTACGAGCGGTAGACCTTCCGGGCGGTTTCCATGAGCCGCTCGCGCGGGATCATCACCTCGGGGGGATAGTCCCGAAAGCCCTTGAGGGTACGCGGCTCGATACGTTGGGGCTTCGTCACTTTGGTGGCGTCGTAAGTAGGAAAGGAGATGAGGGGGATGTTGGTGA